ACACACACACACACACACACACACACACACACACACACACACACACATACCATGGCATCCTCACACAACTCAAGGCAGGGGAAGGGGGGAGTTAAACCATAGGAATTAGCCTCTGACCTCTAGAAAGTGATCTGCAAGTAGTAGCTGTCATTGCTGCAGAGGGATCACCAGTTTCCTATGACCCCACCAGTCATCTTCTGATGGCCTTAAGAGTCTTTAATACACCGCTCTACCATTACACATATTAGGATCTACAAGTTCCAAAATGCAGGCTAGGAATCCTGAGCCAAGCCTCTGTAAGGTCAGATTCATCACTGCAGTTTTCAGTGTGAGAGTTTATAGCACACTTACTTTGGCAGTTTACCTAACTATATCATTCCTTACCTTGTGGAAGGAGTTTTCTTTCTTAAAGAACAAACATGATTAGAACAGGAGGGGTGGTTACAGCTTGTCTGTTGACAGTTTGCCATGGAGGGGAAGGGAGAGGCTGGAGAAGGTAGGTATACCTGTTCCTATCCTGTGCAGCCACCACGGGGAGATATACTGCTCAGAATGGCCAAGGCACTAGAGGAAAATTTTGAAAATTCTTTTAAAATTAAAGGGCCAAGTTTAGTCTCCCCATACATACAAACTGTTCTTAAGTATACAAACAAAATGTGAGGAACTGTCCCACAAACAGCCACTGTGTAGAAGAGAGAGAGAGGAAGCAGAAAGCTGCCCTTGAAAAATAATTACACTTACTCAAAGGGAACTGTACTACAAAACCAAACCAAACCAACCATCCAACCAATCAAACAAACGACAACAACAAAAACCCAGGAATTTGGGAAGAAGCAGAAATGAAAAGTTCAAAATTAAAAGACTCTGTTTTGTTTGGACCCGTGAAATATTTGCCATGGTCTTTTCCACGGGCATGTCCCCTCCACAGCAGTCCTAGAGTATCTGGAGACTATCTATCTGCTAGTGGGAATAAAGCCCAAGTAAAGCCTAGCAAATCATCATTTCGTCATCCCTCATTCTTGTTAAGCACCACACAACACACAGGGCATCTTCACCTACCACATTCTACTTGCAATCATTATGAAAAACATGAGGAGGCAGTTTCACTTACATGGTTAATGAAGAGACTCTTGCGTTTTTCTCTCACTGTGAAAAAAAAGGTAGGACAAAAATGTTATATGCATGGGTATCACCCCTGTAGGTGGCAGAGAAACAAGCCTCTGCTATGCTCATATTCTCCTACTAACCAAAGTTCCCAGTTACTCATCTACCACACTGAAGCGTAAAGAAGCTGCACCAATGGCAGATCTAAACTTGATCAACAGAAGTCAATACAGAGCCATTTAAGCAATACCATAATAACTGTATCTGAAGTCAACTGGGGACAGATTTTCATTACTTGAATGAAGTATTGGTATAGCTTATGAAAATTACATGTATACAATACTTTAAGGTAATTAAGAGAATTATTTACCTAGAACCCAAATGGATTTTTATAGATCAATATTACAAAAATGAATTATTAGTAAAAATATTGATATCCCTAGTAGCAGACCAAGTAATGTGGAACAAAAGTGCTCTGCAGTGGAAGACACTTGGTTCCCCTGGCCAGTACTGTGAACAGGCCTGAACTTCTTTCTGTTTTAGGAGGCCCTAGGGAGCATTTGCAGTTTCTACACTCAGGGGACAGGTGAGCCTCCCATACTGAATGCTTTTTTGTCCAGCCTTGTTCCTGCATATTCTGAACTGCATTGCATGCCTTTAGCCTCAGATTTTGTTCTAACAGGGAACCTTCAGCCTCAGAAACCAGAAGATTGCCAGAGAACACAGAGAAACTTGTGATAAACTACTGTCACTAAATGTTGTGTTGTCCTTTCTAAAGACTAACTTTTATGGGCATACACTAGTCCATCAACTAACCAAGTAGTTCCTTGTAGAAGATATAAAGGACAGACTTCTGCAAGGAGAAGGCACTAACTCAACAAAGTGCAAATTCAGCTTTTCATCTGAGCAAGCATTTATCCTATGGTTTGTACCCACAAAGCCCTCCAGCCAATAAGTTGGAGGACTTGGAGTTTTCTACACTTACAATTGTTCTAGATTCATAAGGAAACACTCTTGGTGCCTCCAATAGAGCTGAGTCAAAGTCCTGGCCCAGCAAGTGAAGAGACCTTGTTCTTAAACACTCGTAAATGAAAACTGAAGATACCAGAAGACAGAAAGACCTCCATGTTCATGGATTGGTGGGGTTCAATGTTATTAAAATGGTCATCAGACTAAAAGTAATTTACATATCCAATACAATCTCCTTCAAAATTCCACTGTAGGTTCAGGACTTTAATAACAGCACTCCATTATCAAAAGCAGGTAAATCTCTCAAGTTATAAGTCAGTCAGAGTTATACTGTGAAAACTTACCTCAAAACAAACAAACAAACAAACAAACCCATTCAATGCAATTCTTCACAGAAATTTTTAAAAGCAACCTTAAAGCTAATATGGAAACACAAAAGAATACAGAAACTCAAAATAGACTAAAGATTCCTGAACAATGAAAATGCCAGAGGTATCACCATCCCAGATTTCAAGTTATACTATACAGCTATAGTAATAAAACCAGCAACTGGAATAAAAACAGTCAACAGAACTGAAGACATACACACACACACACACACACACACACACACACACACACACAGCCACCTGATTTTTGATAAACAAGCCAAAACTATAAACTGGAGAAAAGACAACATCTTCAACAAACACCGTGCTGGTAAAACTGTTTAGCTATCTGTGGACTAAAACTAGATCAACATTTCAGATCTTGATTAGGACTCAACTTCAAATAGACAAGGACGTGAACATAAGACCTGACGATACCCTGAATCTGTGAGAGGAGAAAACAGGGAATATGCTTTCACTTATACAACTAGGAAAAGGTATTCTAAACAGTACTCTGGTAATACTGACTTCAATACCTGTAACCGATATATGAGACCTTATAAAACTAAAAAGCTTCTGCTCCACAAAGTAAGGTAAACTATAACTGAAGAGAAGAGGCAGTCTACAGAATGGGAAAAAAATACCAGCTAAACCTCTGACAGAGGGTTAATCTACAATACACAAAGAACTCAAAAAAACTAAATGTCAAGAAATCAATCCAATTAAAAAGTGGGCCATGTAATTAATCAGAATTCTCCAAAGATAGAATACTAATGGCTGAGAAATATTTTTTAAAATGTTCAATACCTATAGCCATCAAGCAAATGTAAATTAAAGTTTATTTGAAGTTGCACTTTACCCTGATCTAAATGGCTAAGACTAAAAGAACAAATGACACCAAGTGTTGGTCTGGAAATGGGAAAAGGCATATTCACTGCTGGTGGAAACACAAATTAGTGCAGCCACTATGGAAATCAGTGTGGAGGCTCCTCAAAAACTAAAGATAGATCTACCACATGACCTAGCTATACTATACATTTTATCTCTCTCCAAAGGACTATATCTGACTATTCAGAGACCCAATCATCCATACTCACTGAAGCTCTAGTCACAATAGCAGGAAAATGGAAGCAATCCAGATGTCTATCACCCAATGAAGTGCCATATTTTTACAATGGAAAATCATCCAGCTAATAAGAAAATAGAAATTACAAAATTTCCAGGTAAACAGATAGATCTGGAATCATTCTGACAGAGGTAACCCAGAAAGTCAAACATTGTTTCTAATACGTGGACTCTAATTTTGAATTTTTACATATGCATGTTTAATAAATTGGAGTGTCCATAGAGATCTGGAAATTACTAAAGAGATATGGGGGTAGAGGATGCTTAAGAGAAGGGAAACAGAACACAGGTGGTATGAAGAGGAAATAGAAAATAATGGGGCAAGAAGGATTAAATGGGGTAGAAGTGGAAAGCAGGGTAGAACAGAGGACATAAGGGAGGGGTAACCAACACTAAATGCTTCGTAAAGAAGTTACATGGAAACCTACTACTGTAGAAGCTTATTAAAATAAATATAAATATTAAAAACTTTAAATGGAGTCATCCAATAATGAGGGATGAGGGAAATGACACCTCAACAATACAGACAACCAGGTACCTCGTGCTAGCAAATAAACCCCCAATATCAGAATGGGTTACCTCTTTTTGAGTTGTTTGCTAGTGAGGTTCCATAGACCCCTAAACACTAATTAAGCTTTGTGAGATCAAACTAATTCACCTTGTGAGTTCAAAACCAGCCTGCTCTACATAGACACAGAACAACACACACACACACACACACACACACACACAATACAATACAACTGGTGAGCCCTAGTTTGGAGTGCACACCAAACTTCCACTTTCTTGAGCTCATAACTTGACCAGAGGTTAAGAACACAATGGCCAGAACAAGAAGTGTACTGTAATAGGATGTTAGTTCACACTTCCTAACTCTGGGCAAGGCATCCTGGTGAAGTCATTTCCACAAGGATGCAGGAAGGGAGCTTGGATTGTAGGCAGATCTTTGTTTATTTCAAGTCCAGATGCTGAGGACTGGGATATTCGGTACACTCAAGAGGAAACACAAATGAGCAAGGAGATAACAACAGGGACAGAAAGGACATTTTCACAGATGTGTACACTCAGAGGTGGAGACTGCAAGGCAGAAAATATAAGGCTAGCAGGACACAGCAAAAATCTATCAATCAACTTGTTCCCACAGAGAATACCTAGGGACAGAGGATTTCTTCAGAAATACAGAAAAGTCAACTAACTATAACCAGAAATGATTTCATTACAAAAGACATATTTATGTCAAATTGGAAAATGTAAAGCACTATGAGGAAGAAAGTTAAGAATAGTATAAATAAAAATTAAAGCTTGGGAAATAACACAAAGAGAAAATATACTATAACAATCCCAACACAGTATCTTGGTGTATATTTTTTAACTCTCTTTCCTGTGTGCATTTACAGAAATAAATACATTTGAAAATGGGTGGTTTTCTTCATGAATGTACTGACATATAAACACACCAATAGAAACATGTCAATTTTTGTACTGGTATCAGCATTTTCGTTGACTATATTTTCATTTTTTAAAATATAAATGTACTTTGTCATATGTACTATATTTTTCTTACTTGATTCCATTTTTAGGAAATTTTCTCCACTATTTCTTTTTTTTTTTTCAAAATGAGTCTTATTTTGCAGGGTCTTATTTCCAGGCTGACCCCGATTCACAGTCCTCCTGCTGCAGTCCCTGGAGTTCAAGAATAACAAGCATGTATCACCAAGCCCAATTTCTCTACTGCCTTCATAAGCTCACATGCATACTTGTCCTGCATTAGGATGCCCATGATTTCATGCATACACTGAAACAACTGAGCTAATAGTCACTAGAACTCCATTCTGCATATGGAGGTGGGGCATTATTTTGATGACTCAAGGTGTTGGCTGGGTACATTACTGCAAAGTACTGCTACAGACCTGACCTATTCCTGGTTTGCTTCCAAGATGTTCAGAAGTAACTCTTAAATTTGTCCAAGAACAATTTATCTGTAGTTAGAAAAACTAGAAGTAGAAAGATAGGCAGGAGCAGTTAAGCAAAGAACTACCTCCCACTCTCAGCTGAAGTGCATCTTCTCTCCTCTTAGACCCTGTGCTCTGATGTAAGGTGCTATATGGGTAGCATGACTCTAAAACCAAGACCAGTACAGAGGATGGCAGAGCCCTAGCCAAAGGAAGAAACTCAATGTAAAAAAGGTGCTGGGCTTCAGATATTTAGACTGTAGTGCTATTTTGGGTACTGTGCTTGGAGTTCTAGTAGACTGTGCATCCTTCTCATCTTTCTTATAGTCTCAGATACAGTTACCAACTCTACTTGAAAGATAAAAAACTTATTCAGGGACTGGAGAGATAGTTCATTAGTTAATTATTATTCTTCGAGGGGACCTTTGACAGGTTTTCAGCACTTACATGGGGCAGCACACAACTTCCTACAACTCCAGCTCCAGGAGGATCTAACGCCTCTGAACACCCACCCCCAGGATATCTGCCAGGGGTACAGTAAGACACAGACACATCCACATACTTTTAGGTATGTATATGCAAAAACAAAAACTTAGGAAAAAAAAAAAAACAACCACACTTACAAAGA